CTTATGGACCGCACTGTGTATGTATAATAATATTGGGATGATGTCTGGCTCCATACAGGAGTCACATCTCTGTGCAATTAAATATGTCATGGTTGACAAATATTTATCTCATATATTTATCAAGAATCATTAATAATGAATCTTTCTTCGTATTGAATTAATATTAAATGAGAAAAAAAATTAAAAATTGGATTTAGTCAAATAGACTCGTATATACCTTAGTGATCTTTATAATACATGAAAATAAAAAAAAAAGAAAATGATATAAAAAAAGGAATTAATACATCGACATAATCTAAATATTTACAGTATCTCAGTTCTTACAGAATGTTTATGTCGTTAAGAATATTGTTTTACATTATTTTTGATGTAGCAAATAAAAGTTTTCATTACCAGAGAGAAGCATGAGAGCGACCATCCTGGCGTTTTTCTCAACGCCGGTAAAAGTTTTGACCTCCCCGTACACTAGTGACTAGCGCCAATTGCTTCCACTTTTGAGATGGAACTACGTATATACACAGCCAATGACAATGGCTCATCTCAAAAGTGGAAGCAATTGGCGCTAGTGTACGGGGAGGTCAAAACTTTTACCGGTGTTGCGAAAAACGCCGGGATGGCCGCTCTCATGCTTCTCTCTGCCATTACCTTTCAATTTCAGTATTAATTGTAGAAAAAAGAGAAGAAATAACGATTTCTACTTTAAATCTTCAGAGTTTACATAAACATCAGCAATAAGACAATATTATGAAAATTGTATATATATATATATATTTTTTTTTTTCAAAAATATGCTCATTGATTAGCGTCAAAGATAAAGAATAATAGAATAGAAAAAGTAGGAATAGTTCTAAAAGTAACAAAAAACAAAAACCGAAATCGAAGAAACTTATATGTATAATTTAGGTTTATATCAAATTATTTCATTTTCCTTGATATGCTGAAGAGAGTCATTTAATAGATAGATCTTCAATCATTTACTTTATAAGCAAGAAGAAAAATAAGTATAGATAATATATTCCTTCAGAACATGTCGCATATGATCCGCGAGAAGAACGTGTAGAGAAGACGGGGCGGCGATAGTCGCTGAGAAGAATGGCAAATGTATCCTTTGGGCGCGCCAAAAAAAAAATAAAACAGTTGATGAGGTCGAAGGAAAATTGACTTGGTTTTCCAAGTACCATTGTAATCGTGCGAATTGCTACTGTACATTCTTGATCTTCACTTGTTTTCTTGACACTCTGTCAGAAAAGCACTGCTACAATTTCGTCGTGCTGCTGCTAAGTCGAGAAAATAATATGAAATTTCGCGCGCTCTCTTCGGTCTTCAGGGAGTAAGGAAAACTGACGGCGAAGTGGTCATTATCACTTTTTCTTGAAGCACGTGATGGCATTAAAGTAACAGCGCCAATAAAGCTCGCTTTTGGCTTGTCCGCGTCGTTGTAGATCCATCTGAAACGAGGAGAAACGTGAATACACTTATATTAATTTTAAACTGTAAGTATAATTAAATTTTAAACAATGACACATTCCTGATACTGTTAGATGAACGATGAATATCATCTTTTTGCTATCGTTCACATTCTTATAATTCGGCATATTCATGTTTTCTTGATCTTTTGTATTATTTCACTTACATAACTCATTTTATATAGTATGAAATTTTATTATATTTTTATTAAAATTGATATTGAGGTACAAAAGAGTGACTATTAATATGATAATTTCATTACAGAGGTTACTAAAGCGGAGCTTCCAAATCATATATTTGCATTCTACATGATCGAATTTTTTTATTATATTACAAGAATAAAAGTTATTTATTTTAATGCTGAAGCAAGTACTACAGTAAGTAATATTATTTACAGAAATAAACATAATATTAAAAACAGAATACGAGCATAAAAAAACGAAGTATAGAAATGTTCGATTGCCTTACAATGCAGCTCGAGATATTAGGATCTTTTTGAATAGGATTGTTTAAAAGTTAATACCGAATTCGCTACCGTTTGCTCATCCGCCACAGGAACGATTTCCGAGTTGGCAGCTTGGAAACGATGCACTGGTAACTTGCTTATACCTTTGCTTCCAATTGAACCTTTTCCTTGATTATCAACGACCTTTTGTAGAGCTACCATCAATTGATCGAATAATAGAGCCGCTCTTTTTGGTACTACCTGTGATAAAATCAAAATGAAAGGATTAAAACATTCAACAAATTAAATTTTTATATTATAACAAAACTTATATTACAATGAAATCTTTTTATTGTTAGTTTGAGTACGCTTTGCAAAAAATTTTAATTTTCCGTTTTTCATAAAAATATAATTTTATTTAAGAAAAAACGACAATTTTCAAATATTTAATGCATTTATAAAGAAATCGATATATATTTCCTTTAAATTTCTTTGACTTTTATCTAAAATGTTTTGTTTTTTAATAATTTCTAAAATAAGATATCCCATAAAAAATCTTTTTAAAAAAAGAAAAAATATACGCCAAATACATAAAAAATGTCATTTACATTCTTTCTAAAACTAAGAACAATTTTTCTGTATAATTTAAATATACAATTATTTAAAAATTGATTGATCAAAAATAGTTGTGAAATCAATAAAATTATGGCCAAGATATTAAACTAGCCTCATTATTTAAAAAAAGACCTCAAAAAAGATCGGAAGAGCACACGTCTGAACTCCAGTCAC